CCACAAAGAACATATAGGTGACCCAGACCAAGAACTGGGTGAAAGTCAGATGCACCCCCATCTAGCCACTCTTTACCTGCAGAGAGGAAAAGACGGCAGGCATCTTCTTATCTTCTTCACATTCTACAAAATAAAACCCTTTCCATAAAGGTTTATAGGGCTGTGTGCCTTCTTTGACACAAGACAAGCATGTTCAGATAATGGCAGAAGGAGGTAACATATGAAAAGCTCATGACCAAAACCACAACAGAAATACTTCTAAACCAGAAATTGAATTCAGGAGTATATACATCAGATGTGTATACAAAATAATTTGGCTTTCTAAAAATGAGCAGTTCTTGGACAGGCAGGGCTACATAGTTAAGAATGCCTGCCTCCTTCTCAACACACACACACACACAGAGAGAGACACACACACTGTATGTGAAATTTGTGCAAGTGCTTAAAGAGACCAAACGATGGTGCTGTGTGTAACGTCCCTAAATCTGGAAGTTACAGGTGGTTGTGAACTACAAGTGATGTGGGTGCTAAGACTAAACTGGAGTTCTCTGGAGGAGCAAGTGCTCTTAACTTTTGATACATTTCCAGTCCCCAAATTTTTAAACATTATTTGCTTTGTGAAAGCATTTGCCACAGAACATGTGAAGATTATTATAGATCAAGTAATGATACTCAGTTCTTTCTTTCCACCATGATGCCATACAAACTATTGTGTATCTTGCCTGGACTGCATAACACAGAAATCATTCCACATCAGGACATTAATATATTACTCATTCTGGTGGCTTATCTAACTCATTAAAACTATATAAAATCCATGACTTTTAGAGAAAATTTTCTAGTTGCATTATTTTACTTTACAATGTATATTAAATATGAAGCAAAACCCAAATTACCTATATAATATTGAATCAGTTTTACTCCATTAAACCAAGACTATAAACATAGGACAATACAAAAAAAAACATGCTCAAATGGCCAATTTTTGTGTATGAATAGTGAAGGGAAAATTAATGTGGATAGTTTCAAATTAATAACACTATGAAAATAGATGACTGTTGTTTTCATAATTACAGACTGACACTCCACAGTCTTGCTTCTCTAGCCTCTTTCCCCAGCTACTGATATTTGCCATTTTGCCTTCTTTAGAATGCATTACTGAATACAAGCGTACTTCACAGGTTTGATCTGAGGAATAGACCTGTTGGATTTACTAGTACTCAACTCTCTGCCTTAAACATGCAGGGTCCACATGGTCCACCACTTTCTTTCCTTCTTTTTAAACTATGACTTATAAAACTCGAATGTCTACAGAGAACAACCTCTTTCTCTTGCTACCCCTAACTCCTGGCATTTCATTGTCAAGTAGCCATCACTTCTTAAATTCTCTTGGGTCTTTACACAGGTCAGTAAAAGATAGCTTATTTAAAGTTTCAAACACACCATCTAATACACATAGGCACACAGACTTCATAACCTTCCATGTGTTCTCATTTTTCTTCTGAAAACTTAGAGGGTGTACCAAGGCAGTGGTGGCACACCCCTTTAATCCTAACACTCCATGTGTTCTTATTTTTCCTCTGAAAATGTATCAAAACTCCAAGGTATACCAAGGCAGTGGTAGCACACGCCTTTAATCCCAAGACTCAGGAGGCAAAGGCAGGGGGATCTCTGAGAGTTTGAGGTCAGTCTGGTCTACAAATCGAGTTCCAGGACAGTCAGTGCTACACAGAGAAATTCTGTCAAGAGAAAACAAAAACAACTCCAAGGTGTGTCAGGTATGGCAGCTCTAGCAAGGTGACTAAGAGTTGGAGGCCAATCTGAGCTACACAATGAATCCAAGGCCAGTATGGGTTAGAGTGAGACCCTCTCTCAAAACAAACAAACAAACAAAACCTCATAAAACTAAGACATCCAGGTGTTTGTGGTACACACCTTTAATCCCGCACTTGGGAGGCAGAGGCAGGCTGATTTCTGTGAGTTCGAAGCTAGCCTGGTCTACAGAGCAAGTTTCAGGACAGTCTCCAAAACAATACAGAGAAACCCTGTCTTGGAAAAAAAAAAAACAAACAACAACAAAACAAAAAAACAGAAAAAAAAACCTGAGATATCTAGGATGTTCTTAAAGACAAAGGGACTTATCACTATCTCTTCTTTCCTGCCTTGGTAATTCTACATTCCTTAAACTAAACTTAAGAGTCCAATTCCAACAAGAGATGCATTCTCACCCTGGACTCTTGGGGGGAGGTTCTAGGCCCTGTCCTGGATGAAATGACAAACTATGGACACCCCCATGGAAGAACTCACCCTCCCTGGGAAAAGGAGGAGGTATTGGGTGGGTGGTGGGAGGGGGTGGGAGGAGGGGAGGGAAAGGGAGAGGGACATGAGATTGACATGTGAAGAAACCTTGTTTCTAATTGGAATTTAAATTTAAAAATAATTTTTTTGGTTTTTCAAAAAAAAAAAGAGTCCAATTCCAGTAATGCCAGTTATTTTATACAAACATTCTTTCCAAATATTGTTTCTATTTCTTAGCAGGACATCATAGCACACACCTGTAACCCTATCACTTAGGAGGTAGAGACAGAAAGACTAAAGTTTAAGACCAGACTCAATTACACCATGGCCACCCTAGGCTACTTGAGAATCTGCTTCAAAAGATATTCCTACAGTCCTTTTAATCCTTAGTTGCTAATTCAATGGTCTCAATGTAACAAATATACAATAAAAGAACTATGATGGGCACAGAAGAGTACTGTCAGATTTTCCCTGAGTGTCCTGAGTCATTACAACAAAAGAAAAGTGCAGTGGGGTGTAGTGGTTTGAGGCTATAATTCTAGCACTATGAGGCCGACACAGGACTGCTGCTCTGGGGTCAGGGCTAGTGCAGGCTACAGAAGCTGCAAGCCAGCCAAGGCTACATTGTGAAACTCTGGCTGTCTCAGAAAAGTGTAGATAGGGTTAGAGACTAACTGAAAAAGATTTTGTTAGCCTTTGATTTTTATTTGAGACAGGGTCTAACTATGGAGCCCTGCCTGGCCTGGAATTCACTATGTAGACCAGGTTGACCTTGAACTCAAGAGATCTGCCTGCCTCTTCCTCCCATGAGTTAGAATTAAAGGTATGCACACACCACATCCAGCTTTCTGCTTGCCCTTTAACTGATTTACTTACACAAACCTGAGTCTACCAACCTTTTAAAGGGAGATTGTGTGATGTACCTCTGGGACAGGGGTTGTGGCTCAGAGATGCAGCACTTTACTGAACATGCTGGAGGCTCTGGACTTCATTACTAGCAGTACAAACTAACAGGGAAAAAAAGAAACAAAGAAACAAGGCAGAAACAAAACTACAATGGTTGAATCAATTCTTGTATGTTTTGCCTTTTGGTTTTTATGGATTTATGTGTAAAGTAATCTGCTGTGTATTCTAACCCTATGTTTTGTCACAGAGAACTGTCTGTGGGCAAAGAGGACCGCTTCTCTGTCGTCCTTGATTGCCAGTAACATAGAAAGAATCAAATACCTCACAATTTAATCCAAAACAAAGTTTTTTGTTTTGTTTTGTTTTTTTTTTTTTTTGGTTTTTCGAGACAGGATTTCTCTGTGGCTTTGGAGGCTGTCCTGGAACTCGCTCTGTAGACCAGGCTGGCCTCGAACTCACAGAGATCCTCCTGCCTCTGCCTCCCGAGTGCTGGGATTAAAGGTGTGCACCACCAACGCCCGGCTTCAAAGTTATTTTTAAAATGTGGCCTAAGTCCACTAACCAACTACATCAATAGATTAGTCAATGAGATAATACATTATGTGCCTCATGGCATAACTACCTAATATCAATTTTGTTGTTGTTTTTCTTTCTTCAAGACTTGGTCTCAGCTGGGCGTTGATGGTGAACGCCTTTAATCCCAGCACTTGGGAGGTGGATCTCTGTGAGTTCAAGGCCAGGCTGGTCTACAAGAGCTAGTTCCAGGACAGCCTCCAAAGCCACAGAAAAACCCTGTCTCAAGAAACCAAAAAAAAAAAAAAAAAGACTTGGTATCACCAGGCTTCCCCAAACCACCGTAAACTCACTGGTAACCCACAGTCTAAAGTTATCCTCCAGTCTCCTGGAATGGTGAGATGATTAGCTAGATTTTAACTCTATATTCTGAAGTTTTAAACACAGCTGTAAACGCTGAAAAACATGACAAAAATTTAACTGGAAAATGTTGATACATATCATATTTTGTAATAACACTAAGTAAAAAATATTCTCAAACACAATAATAGCAGCCCATGTATAGATCTAATAATATAAAAAAAATCACCTATTGAAATACAATAATAACATCTGATTAAGCACACAAGCCAGTCAGGTTGCCTCTAAACTGCTAGCTTTGCAAGCCCTCAGATAAATAAGCCTCATCACCCTAAAGTCCTTTTACAGAAAATGGTTAGCAAACTGGGAAAACTGTAATGCTTACAACAGACTTGACAACATCTCCACCCAACTGAATGTCTCACAGGGACTTTATCAATAAGTGATGGCATGAGTGTTCCGTGGCACCAGGCCTATACCAGTTCATGGAATGATCACACTTTCAAGACTCATGACGGAAAGGGCAGAATTACGAAACCAGAAACAGTCACCATGGCACATCCTATCCACCAGTCTGTAGAGAAACTACAGGCACTACGTTCGAAAACTGTCATTTGACCAAGTTTGGGGACCCGCATACACCCCCACCCCAAATTCATCAGTGGGGCGGGCGGAGGCTGAGTCATTCCGGGGAGTAACTTTACACGGATGCTCGCACTCCGGGGTCGGGACAAAGGCATCACCTCTGGGTTCCTCCCCTCTGTGCACTCCGTTCGGCCGCGGTCCAAACCCTCTCCGGTTTCCAGAGCCCGACACGCCGCTGCGCCGAGCCCAGGCGGCGGAGGCCGCGCTTCAGGCCTCCGGTAGGCACGGGCGCCCCGCTCCCGCGATGCCGTCGGCGGCCGGCCGGCCCGACCGTCCCCACTGGCCGGGCGCGGCGACCCTGCGGGCTGGTGGCGGCGACCGCTCCCACAAGCCCGTCAGGTGCCAACCGGCCCGCGGCGAGCCCCCAGCCAGATGGGGGCAGGGGCGGTACTCACCCGGCAGCGCCTCCTCCGCCCGCGGCAGCAGCAGCACAGCCGGCGGCCCCCGGCACCATCTTCTGCCGCCGCCCTGGCCTCGGCGGCGGCTACCAACCGCCCCTGCGGCGCCGCCAACCGACACAACCGCCGACGCCCGGCCGCCCAGCGCCCGGCGCGGCCCCGAGTTTCGGAGGCTGCGGGGTGGGGCGCAGCCGCTGCTCAGGTCCCTCGCTCCGCGCGGGCACCGAGTCCGCCTGTCGAGGCGCTGGGACCGGAGGCAGCCGGAGCTCCAAAGGGCCGGGTCGCGGCCGCCGCGGGGTTTGTTATTGTCAACTCGGCCCTTCCGCCGCAGAGCACGCCGGGAAACAGCCAGCCGGGGGAGGGGCGCTCCGGGCAGCGCAGCCAGGCGGCTGCGCAAATGCGGAAGTCGCCGAGCTGCTGGGACGGGCGCGGCTGGGCTCCCGGGCGCCGTGCCCGGCCGGTGGCTCCGCTGTCCTGCCCTGACCCTGGAAGGTATTGCGGGCCTTCCGTGGTAAGCCCCAAGGTGAGCTTGACCTTCTGGCCGCGGCAGGCCGACCCCGCCAAACCCGGTGCAGCTCCAGGCGGGGAATCGGAGGCGGAAGAGGGAGCGCCCGCACAGCTCCGCGGCCCTCGTCCGCCTCCGGAGTGAGTGCTGCAGCAGGACAGAGGCCGGTGACAGGGTCAGCCGACTGACGCGGGAGACACTCATACACCGATCGCCCGCACGGCAGGCTGCTCGGAAAGTATGCCTGGCATCTTTGCAAGGGTAGGGCGGCACACAGTCAGACAGACCAGGTAAGCCAAGAGCACGCCCCAGCAGAGGAGAGCCGAAGCCAAGTGGACTGGAGTGTAAGCGACACGACCATACGTTCCCGAGGTCTCTAATGCGTCAACAACATCAAGACTAGAGAATGTCGGCTTGGGAGAATATTGTATTTGTAAAGGTAATCGGGCTCAGGCAAGGACTTGAAGCTACAGATTTAAAATCTGATGAGCATATGTTACATGCAGACTAATTAGGTGACACAAAAAAAAAACTTAAATTGCTATTTCCAGGAATTTCTGGTAGAAGTAAAAGTTTAGGACTTGTATCTCTAACTCAAACAATGAGTGGTTCACGACAAAATAAGACCCAGGAGGTATGAAACTGAGCCTGATCTGCAGCCCTTCGTTTAGTGTCATAGAGACTGGAAAACGCTGAATGGCTGCATTTCAAAGACGTTTTGGAGAGGAGCTTGTTGTTTACATCACTTTGTTTTTAACTTTGTACTGATACTGTATCCCAAATCTTGTCTTTATGATTTTTGACGTGCTACTATGCATATTGGGTATTTTTAAACAAGAATTTTAGTGTGGGACCCCGACAAAGTAAAGCAGAAGTAAAGAAAATAAGCACTAACTTATTATGCACCAAGGAAAGGAGTGAATTGGCAAGAATATTTTTTTGTTTGTTTGTTTTTGTTTTTCGTGACAGGGTTTCTCTGTGGCTTTGGAGGCTGTCCTGGAGCTCGCTTGGTAGTCCAGGCTGGTCTCGAACTCACAGAGATCCGCCTGCCTCTGCCTCCCGAGTGCTGGGATTAGAATAATTTTTTTTTACTAACACATCAAATTAACATGTATAAGCTATGTGATAACAAAAAATGTAGCAAGAAACTATGAAAAACAGGGCTGGTGAGATGACCCAAAGGGTACAGTCATGTGCCACCAAAGCTGACAACCTCTGTTCCATCCTAGAACCCACACGATTGGAGGAGAGTACCAGCTTCTTGAAGTTCACACACACACCAAGAGCACACCAAGGCTTTATCCTGGTGTTTCCCCACAGTTAATCAGTGTCACCCATCCAGACAGATGCAGTCCAATTCCAGGTGTTAAAGCACCACATATCCTCATGGCTATCTACTAAAAAATAATATACTGTTCTTGTCCCTGACTTCTTTAGGAAACTGTTACTACAAGTGTCTGTTTGTTACTTTATATTCCAATGTAAATCTTTGAGTTTATATGCATCTCAAATGACTTTACTAAGACTAAAGTGAAAACATGTAACATGAATTCTGTTAAATATACTTTTGAGTACCTAGGATGTAAATGTTGCTAATCATGTATACCTGCAAGTCCTGTGTCCACAAGCCATTTTCCCTCATTCTGTTGAACACTCTGCTTGCCATAATGAACAAGAACAAAGTCTTCTGTAGCACCCCTTGGAACATCTTAATCCAGTCTCAGCTTTGCCTCCTGAGCTTTTCTCAGTGAAATACAAACAGACTTACAAGGACCTTTAAATTATGTGGCATGGACAATGCTGAAACTTTGTCTAGATTTACTAGTGTATTGGCCATTCTTGTGTTGTTCCCTTTCTGCTGCTTCTAAACCCCGGTCTATTTACTTGAGTCTTTCCCCATCTCTCAAATAATTAGAATACATCATGGATGATGCAAAGATTAGGTGCTGTGTGAGATCTCTTGCCCTCTACTCCTCTACTAAGTTTTTTTAATTTAATATCTGTCAGTATTTCAGTGCATTTTTGGTAAAGGAGATTAAGTAAAAGTGCTTCATCACCAAGTCTAATGACAGCCTGAGTTTGATCTGCAGGATTCACAGGATGGAAGAAGAGATCTGAGGGGTTATTTTTTGTTTTTGTTTTTGTTTTTGTTTTCTCCCATACAGGGTATCTGTGTTGCTTTGGAGCCTGTCCTGGAACTTACATTATAGACTAGGCTGACCTCAAACTCACAGAGCGCTGCCTGCATCTGCCTCCCAAGTGGCATGTGCCACCACTGCCTGTCATAAATGTCACTTTTAAAGTGATTTTCTTTAGGAGTGTAAAGGGATTATTCAGTGTCTACTGAACACCTGAGTACTTCACAATACTCAAATTGTTAAATTTTTCTCAGTTTTAACCTCAGCATCTCCTCCTAATCTTGACCTGACAAATCTATAACCCTTGATCTTTTAAGTGTCTAACATGCTGATTGTAAACTCCTGCTTAAATATTAACTCTTTCCCCTGCATAGTGATAAACGTTCAGTACTAACATTTGTTGACAACACCTTCAGTGTTATTCAGGCCCTCTCTTCCTGGCTAGCCCTGTACTAGCCTCCATTATTTTTCTATGAAAAACTGTCCATGTCCCTCACCTTCCTAAGAATTTTCAGTGGTTTAGTTTCCTCCATGGATACAATTTGAACACTTTAACATAGCACAACAAATCTTACTGGGATTGGGACTATGTACCAACTCGTCTCACACTATACCTAACCCAATCTTGAGAGATTGACCCAAATCATTATAATTTGTACAATGTAGTAAATTATGTAAATACATTAAAGGGCAAATAAGTTTCTGTGAGAAATTCTTGCCCTCACATGTCCCAAAGGCCACTAGTCAAGTAATCCAGTGGCCTCTCAAACTAAACTGCAGGGGTTGTTTGCTGCAGCTCCTGGCTATGAAACCAAAAAACTCAACAAAACCCATGTGGAGTTTATTGGGAAAGGGAGCAAAGGCAGGGGTAGGTGTTGGCCAATGGGAGTGGAGTTGGAAAAAGATGAGCAGGCAGGAGGGGCTTCCTTCAAAGGAAAAGCTTGCACATTTGTACAGAGCCCTTATGCAGTCACGTAATACACGACTTAGCCACACAACACAGGAACCTTAGAGCTAATCATCTGCTTGAAGGCCGGTTGTGTAACCTGCCAGTTGTCAGGGGGCAGGGTCAGCATAATGCCAGGATATCAACAGGGTTAACTGAGCACTTGGGAGGTAAAGGCAGGAGGGTAGGGACTTCAAAGACATCCTTAGCTGCAGGGTGATCTGGAGACCAGCATGTGATATGAGACCCTGTAAAACTGCAAATTTATATGTCATTACTCTTACAGAAACTCTTTAAGGGCATTGGGATGATGGCCACACACCTTAATTCTGTAAACTCAGCGTGATTTGAAATTCCACTCTGAATGTATATTTGATATTTCTTAAACAGTTTAGTATTATTGCTCTAATTTAAGGGATGCCCAATAGCAATCACTTAAAATATAGATTGACCAGTTATGTTTATATGTTTGGCTTTTTTCAGTGCATATCAAAATTATGTCTGTTTTAAGCAATTTAAAAAACATTTGAAATTTTGCTTTTAGGAGAGTTTGCTTAATGGTTAAAAGCACATGCTGCTCTTCTAGAGGACTGTTTGGATCCCAGCATCCATTTAGTGGCTCACAAACATCCATAAGTCCTGTTCTGGGGGATCTGACACACACTTCTGCCGTCTTTGGGCACAAGACATGCACATAGCATAGGCAAAACCTCATAAACATAAAATCAGTATTTTTTAACAAATGATAACTCAGTCAACTATTGTCAGGCACTCTTGAAAGTGCTGTGGGTACTGATTATGAAGAGGCTCTTCTTTGCTTTCGGTACTGTTTACAGACCTTAAAACTGCCCTATGTTGATTTGTTCGTATCCATAGGTGTTATTGATGGTAATGACGATAGTTAACTTGAGTGCCTTCCAGGTGTGTAGTGAACCTGAAGAGCAAGTAACCAACACTGTCTAGTGCAGCAAAGCACATGCAGAAAAAGTTCCTATACCACGCTTAATTTTCTAAAAGATTTAATGAATAAGACAAGGATTTGTATCAATTTTGAAGGAAATATTATCTCTATGATTGTAAAACATTTAGAAAAATGAATGGAGGCTGTAGCTCCATCTGGATACAGTAGTGCGTACTTGTGTCTTAGCCCATAGAAGGTCGAGGTAGTGAGGGGGAAGAGGCCACTCTGTCTAAAACACCATGACAAGTACATACAAACCTCTGTATCAGAGAAAAGCATTCTAAGAAGAATACCTGTTGCTTTGGAGGCACTGTAACATTATCTATTCTTTTTTTCCCAATTCTAGTATTGACTCACCATTGATTTTATCATTATATTTAATGGTTTGAAGGACATTAGATTCAGTGACAGGAGCCAGATCTTGAGACCCATTGCATACTTCAATGGTAAGCTTGTGATTTTACTTATTTTTAAAATACAGTATTATTAAAACCACTGAAATATTTTTAGATTTGTGCCTCTTAGTGTCTTAACTAATCCAGATTTTATCATTTGCCCCCAGTTTTGCAACTAAGGAATTGATTCATGAAGACTAAGTTACAGAATCAGTGCATTTCCTTCTAATTAGTGTTCCTTAGCTAGTAACCTGTCAAGACCAGAATTTAAAACCAGGTGATTGGTTCTATGTTTGGGTAGAAAAGGTATGAAGTTGAAAGTTTAGCAGTAAGCTAAGTTTCTCAATGATAGAACTGTTTGGGAGGCCTATGGCAGAGTGGCTCAGTTAATTCTTTGTTGTAAGGGGTTATCCTGTGAATGTTAGAATTTCTAATTTATTCTATCTGCATGTATGACCAGGCACCATGTGCATGCCCCATGCCTGGAGACCAGAAGATGGTATTGGATCCTGTGGAATTGGAATTGGGTGCTGGGAACTGAGCCTCTACATTTAGAATTTTTGACATCTATGGCCTCTATCACCTGAGACAGTGACACTCCTAGTCATCACAACTTAAAATGCCTCTGAATATACCCCAGTAGTCCCTAGAGGGGCAGAAGAGCCAAACTCCTCTTCTGATTCACAGCACTAGGAAGTGGTTTATCTGTACAGTGATACATGATACAGTTACTAAAATTGTGTTTCAGAAAAACATTAGAAGACAATGGATTTAGACTACTGTAATTCACAATTTTTCATATTAATCTCTGGAAATCTGGATACATTTAACTGTTGATGAGAATCCTAAAATCTTGCCATGCATTTCCTACGCATATAAAACTTCCAAAATGGTAGCTTAGAAAATAGAATTCTAAGCTGGGCCGTGGTGCACGCCTTTAATCCCAGCACTCGGGAGGCAGAGGAAGGTGGATCTCTGAGTTCGAAACCAACCTGGTCTACAAGAGCTAGTTCCAGGACAGCCTACAAACCAAAAAAAAAAAAAAAAGAAGAAGAAGAAGAAGAAGAAGAAGATTCTAAAGATTTTGTTTCTAAAAGGGAAAAAAAGATTTTATTTCTTTTAAAAAAATCTAAAGTGAAGATGTAGACGTGAGATAGTGGTATGTTTTTAAAAATATAAAAGGAACTAAAACTCCACCCTCTCACCTGTTTTTCAAGACAGGATTTTTCTGTGTAGCCCTGGCTAATTTGGAACTTGCCCTGTAGACCAGGCTGGCCCCAACTCAGACATCTGCTAGCCTCTGCCTCCTGAGTGTTGGTGTGGCAACAAAACTCTTTAAAATAAGTGTTTTTTTCTTTTTTTTTGTACCTTTTCTACATTTTCTAAACTATATGCTTTTTGTAAGTTTCTTTCTAAGTTGCAGAGATCCATTTATTTTGGTAATGCTTGTTTTCAAGCTTCTGTCCTCAAATGATCCTTCAGTTTTAGTCAACTTGCTGTCTGTACATACAAAATACTTTTTCAGGAGTCAGTCATTTTTAACATTTATTTTGTGTATATATGTTTGTGGAGCACTACACCTGTAAAGGTGAGGAGACATCTTGCAGGAGTCAGTTCTCTCCTTCAAACATGTAGGTTCTAGAAATTGAGCTAAGGTCATCAGGCTTAGCAACAAACATATTTACTCTCTGAGCCATCTCACAAGCCTCTCATTCATTTTTAGTTTGACTTACTATAAAAATAATGGTGATGGAATGCAAAAAATAAATTCATAAAAAGAGAAAAACAAAGGAATGTTGAATATTTGCAAACCTGGATTCCCAGTTTTATACTTCCCTAGTCCCCACACCTTCCTAATTATCTCATTGATAAATAATCTCTATTAATTCATAAGAAAACTTCCTCACCTTTCTGCCATGAAATCTTCAATCCTAATTGAATCTGTTGTCATTATTAGTATTCAGGCGTCTGTACTAACCCGTCCCGGGGGTTCTGACAGGGTACACCCTCAGCTGCTACCACGAAGAGCACCACCTGTGCACATTAAAAGAGCCCTGCTTACCCACCACACACACACACACACCACTTCTCTTTCTGTCTCTCCCACCTCTTCTGCTGCTCCTGTACCCAGAGCCAAGTCTACCCCATTCCCTCTGACGTTTTCCAATTCCCTTTCCCCTAATAAAAAATCCCCTCCATGTGAGCTCTGTTGAATGGCATCTTTTTCTCCCGTGTACCTTGTGTTTCTGATAGTCAGCTTTAAATACAGCTCATTTTACTTCTCATTCTATTTTCCTATAAAACTACTTGATTAAGTGCTAGGAACTGAATTTGCTAGAGAAAAGCCATATCTTTGTTACAGGTGTAATGGGTTGATTAGTACTTAAGATTGTGGAGAGCTAGAATAGTGAAGCTTCAGAGCTGAACTATTTTTGGCTAACAGCCCTCTTAGCTATTCATTGCCTACCTCGGTATGACTGATCAATCTTGTGACTTAATGTGACATGTTAAGGAATGTATTAATGGCTCACTTCCTTCGACCCAGAAGCAAAGACTGGCATCAGATAACAAACATCTCAGACCTATAGTGGAGGCTGCTCCCACTGTGCTGTAGTACCAGTGTCTCCACCAATTTGAAAAGTACCTTGAGTTGTGCTTTTTGTTTTTCTAAAGACAGTCTGTCTGTGTAGTCCCAGGTGTCCTGGAACTCCATATGTATACCAGACTGGCCTCAAGCTCAGAGATCCTCCTGTCTCTACCTACAGAGTGCCGGGATTAAAGACATTTGCTACCACATCTGTTGTATGGCTTTCTTAAACTGCAAAAACTTTATAAAACTATTACTATGTTAGAACATGTTATTTGGGGTAAACTGAATGACTTAAAAAAAGATATCTTAAATTATTAATTAAAAAAACACACTACCACTGGCTGTGGTGGTAAACAACTTTAATCCTGGCACTCAGGACCAGAAGCAGATGAATCTGAATTCAAGTGCAGTCTGGTGTACACAGGGAATTCCAGGATAGCCAGGACTACATAGACCCTGTATCAAGCATCCTAAGTAAATAGTAAGGGCGTGGTTATACTTGCTTTTTAATCGTAGTACTCTTGAGTTTGAGGCCACCCTAGCCAATAGGACTACATAGGGAAAAACTATCTCAACAACAACAAAAAATATTAAATAGTTTAATGTTTTTGTTTTAAATTTTCTTCATATATTGACTGCCTATTACAGAGTTTAAATTCTTAAAAATTCAATCTTTTCAATGGCTATTACTTTACCTTTGTTACTAGAACAAAAGTGTTAAAATGTGTCTCAGAAAAGCAAAACAAAACAAAAAAACGGTAAAATGTATCCATTCTGAGTGTCACACACTATTTACACTACTAACCACACAGTATATGGAAACCTGTTATTTATGTGTGTATTTTACTCTGTGCTAGGAATGAAACTCAGGGCCTTTCACTGTTTAAATACCTCTCCACTGAGCTACACCCTCAACTCCCCTCATGGAAAGTGTGAATCAGGTAGTTCTGGGAACCTCCCAACCTCTAGCCATGGATGGGTTACATCCTCTTGGAATGCATATCTCAAGTAAACCAGATCTACTTCCAAAGCTTTCTAAGTTTTTATAGGGTTCATCTAAGATTAATTTGAATTCATCATTCTCAAATCTGCCTTAACCTTTTTTAAAGAAGGTAGTATCTTACACACACATAGCTGATAATCTAGGTGACATGTAGGAGCTGGAAAATGTGGGGTTCATTTACATTTGGAAGATGATCAAATTCCTTTTTTGTTTCTTTAGTTGTTACTTTTATTAAGTTTTTTAAATGCCAGGTGTTGTGGTGAAGACCTTTAATCCCAGCATTTGGGAGGCAGAGATAGGTGATCTCTATGAATTAGAGGCCATCCTGGTCTACATAGAGGCTCCATGTCAGCCAAGGCTCCATAGTAAAACTATCTCGCAACAAAACAAAAAATTTAAAGCGTGTGCGTGCGTTTGAGAACAATTTGTGGAATCAGTTCTGTGCTTCCACCCTGTGGGCTCTGAGGATTAAATTCAGGGCTGCTGGCTTGCCAGCAGGCAGTTTATCCGTGGAGCCATGTTGCTGTTGCTGCTGGTTTTCTTTTAGAGTGTATATGTACACTGACCTCAAACTCATGATTTTCTACCTCAGTTTCTTGATTGCTGAGATTACAGGTATGTACCACTTTATCCAACAAATTCCCCTTAAAATCATATTGGGAACACCTAAACTTGTGTCACCTGATTCTGTACATCACATGTAAGATTTAAATATCAAAATTCTTTTGCATTCTATGCTGTTTCGAATAGTGTACACAAGCCGTCTACAGTGAGATCTATGAAACACTGAAAGAAATTTATGATTCAACTTTTATTAAATTGGAAGATTGATTGGAATGGTGGTATTTTCTGTTATTCTACAGATTCCAAAAAGGTCCTACCAAAATTCCAGTTGTCCCCTAATTCTGCCTCTTACGAAGTTGAAACTCACTCCAAAATTTATGTGGGAGTCCATGAGACCAACAATAGCCCGAATGGTCTCAAAAAAGAACATAGGTAAAGACATTCATTTTTCCTCATTTTAACACTTGCTATAAAACCACACTACAATAACCAGATCTAAGGGTATATACTAGAACCCAAAACCCATAAATGAACAATTAGGGGTAATGTTCATTGCACCCCACAGAAGCATGCCTCCAACAGAGTGAGGACAATTGGATATACCCAAGCAAAAATAGCAAGTGGATCTCTTACCCTACAGCATATGTAAGGTTAAGTTGGATCAATCATCTCAACCACTAAAGCTATACAATTTTTAGGAGAAAGCTTACAGGTAAATAAATACATATTTATGACTCTGGATTGAGCAGTGGTGTAATATGACACTAATAATAGTCAACAAGCGAATTATACAGATTATACTTTATCAAAATTTAAAACAAAAATATAAAATAATTTATTCTCATGAGAAACTGAGAAGAAAACACAGAATTTGAGAAAGTGTAATTCATATAAAGAACAAGTATCCAAAATATGTAAATATTGTTTTGTTTCAAGACACTCTTTCTCTGTATAACCCTGGCTAACCTAGAACTTGCTCATATCCAATCATTTTCAAAGAAATGAAATGTGAAAGGCATTTCTACAAAAGTATACAAAATAGCTAAAAAGTTGTGGGAACCCATCTTTGTGGGCCTTCAGTCTGATCTAGCCAACTTGCCAGGTTCATACCTGAGAGGGGGAGTACGGATTGAGAAATGGCAGGTAAAGACGCTAAGAGAAAGACAGACACAGGATAGAGTCAGGGGGGTAATCCAGTGAATACTGAATGTCCCAAGTTTGTTCTTCAACATTCTTAAGTACCCCAATCAAAAGGGGGACATGGAAGAAGACTTCTGTTATCATGTATAAGGAACAAACAGATTTTCTTCCCTTACTCTTCTAAGCATTTGGTAACCACACCTGTTACCTGTCCTTGAGGGACAAGAGTAAACACCTCAGCCCAACTCTGTTGTTATTCAGAAATAAGAAATTGGCTACCAAGACCAAAACGTCCTATAGTAGCCAAGCCTTAGACCTTTATGTCTTTTGACTTACTAAGGACAGTTTTGAAATCTCTCACCTTGAAGTGGAGGCATCTTTATGGGCTCTGACAAAAAGTACATGAGAACATCCTCATTCCCACTGGTTAAGAGGAATTCAAATCAAAATTATACTTTGCCACCTCATGTGTACTGGGATAGCCCAATTTTAAAATGCCAAAAGCAAGTGTTGGCAAGAAGAAAAACTAGAACCTATACATTGCTGAAGGAACTATAACATGATGTGGCCACTTGGTGAAAAGGGTTCGGTGGTTGATCTTAAGACTCAACATAGTTGTTGCTACATGGTCCAGCAGTTCCACCCCCAGAGAAATGAAAACATGTCACCAACAAAGGTGTACAAATTCTAGGCATGGTGGCATATGCCTTTAATCTCAGCACTTGGGAGGCAGATGTAGGCAGATCTCTGTAAGTTTGAGACCAGTCTGGAATACATTGTGAGTTCCAGGACTATGTAGAGAAACTCTTTATATAGTATTTTATGGCTTACGGGCTTTGGTTAAACAATAGCTATCTCCTGACAGAAAGTTCAAGAGTCCAATAGTTGTATGATCCATGAGGCTGGATGTTTCTTCTGGCCTTCAGTATATACTGGAATCCTGAAGATGTATGTGTCATGAAATATTATGTAGAAATGTGCTGCCATATGCAAATAGGCTGGCTATTATAAATGTAATTCTTACTTGATAATTGTTCTTAGTGAATATAGTCTTACTGTGTTAAAGCCAAAACCTTCCTTTTATTCAGACAAAAAGGGGGAAATGATGCAGAATGTTTGTTTAATTATGCAAGGATGTGTTGCATGTATTTAACTGTATAAAAATGTATTGTATTTGTTTAATTATGTAAAGCTGTGTTGCTGTTTTACCTTGCCTGTCCAAGGCACATGATGGGTCTAATAAAAAGCTGAATGGCCAATATCTAGGGACGAAGTACAGGCAGAACTTCTGGGCAGGGAGAAATGTAGGAGGAGTAATTTAGGCTTGGAGAAGAAAGAAAAGGAGACACCAGAGGCCAGCCAGACCAGGAAGAAGCAGAAAAGTAGGACATACAGATAAAAAGGCCCAAGGTGAAATGTAGATGAAGAGAAACAGAAACAGGTTAAAATAAGTTAAAAGAGCTAGTAGGATAATCCTAAACTAAGGCTGATCACACATATTTAATAGTAAATATCCATGTCTTTATTTGACAGCCCAAAGAAAATGCTAACTACAAGCAGGCTCTGATGACAGTTAAGAAATGAATTTGCCAGCAAGAATGAAGGCAGACAGGCAAAGAGCAAGGCCCAGAAGGTATGGCCCAGATTTAAGGTGGATCTTTGTAGGCAGAATTTTTCTGCCCCTCCAGCCAGTTTCATAATAACCACACAGAGACTTACTATTAATTATAAATGCTCGGTCAATAGCTCAGGTTTGTTACTAGCTAACTCTTAACATTTTAAATTAACCCATATTTCCTATTCAGTATGACAGTACCTTTATTCAGCATGGCAAGTTCATCTTCTCCCCGAGTGTTCTCTGAAATTCTCAGCTCCACGCTTCTTCCCAGCATCCTCCTAGTCTGGCTCTCCCACACGATCTCTTCCTGCCCAGCTATAGGCCAGCCAGTTCTTTATTAAGCAATGAGTATAATGCATATGTAGGGTTAAGTTGGATCACTCATCTTAACCACTAAAGCTATACAATTTTTAGGAGAAAACTTACAGGTAAATAAATACATATTTATGACTCTGGATTGAGCAGTGGTGTAATATGACACTAATAATAGTCAACAAGCAAATTATACAAATTGTACTATATCAAAATTTAAAACAAAAATATAAACTACTTTATTCTCATGAGAAACTGAGAAGAAAACACAGAATTTCAGAAAGTGTTTGTAAGTCATATAAAGAACAAGTATCCAAAATATGTAAATAAACATTGTTTTGTTTTATTGTTTTGTTTCAAGACACTCTTTCTCTGTATAACCCTGGCTGTCCTAGAACTTGCTCATGTCCCATCATTTTCAAATGTACAAAGATTATTGGACAGCAGGTCTTCTTTCCTCAAATGATCCAGTCAAGAAAAATCCCTCACAGGTATTCCCAGACATAGTCAAGGTGATAATCAAGAATAGTCATACATGCAATTTAAAAAAATATAACAAGCTAATCAGCAGAGTATTTGCCTAGCATGCCCAGCGTCCTGAGGGCAAACCCCAGCACTACATAACCCAGACATACAGACCAACACCTATAATCCCAACATGTAAGAGGGGGAGGCAGGAGGATCAGAAGTTCAAGCTCATTCATACCTACATAGTTAAAGGCCAGCCTGGGATACTTGCAACCCTGTTTCAAAAACAAAAGGCAGTTCTATTCCTAGGAATGCCTAAGAAACTTTGGTTCAGGTGCACATGGTAATGTAAACCTGTGATTCAGCATTTAGGATTTTAATTTCCAGGACAGCCTGGGCTGGTAGTGATATCTTGTATCAAAAAACAAAACCCACCAGGCAGCAGTGGCCCATTCCTTTAACCCCAGAATTCAGAAAGCAGAGGCAGATTGATCTCTTGAGTTTGAGGTCAGCCTGCTTTACAGAGTGAGTTCCAAGACAGCCTAGGGAGAAACCCTGTCTCAAAAAACAAAACCTTGGGGATCTTAACAGAGGATCTGGGTTTCGTTCTCAGCACTCACACCCTCCTCTGGCCTCTGCGAGCCACAGGCACATACATGAAGGCAAACACTTACATAAAATAAAATAATAAGTACTTTAATTCTAGCACTCAGGCAGACACAGTTCAGCCTATTTTAACAGAGTGAGTTCCGGAACAGCCAGAGCTACACAGAGAAACCCTGTGTCAGAAAGCAAACAAACAAAAATAATATTAAATAAAATAAATAGGGTTGGCAAGATGGCTCAGCAGATAAAGGTTTCTGCCACCAAACTTAGTAACCTGGAACCACATACTGAAGGAGATCTGACTCCCATAGGTCTTAGAACTTGTAAACACACAACACACACACACAACACAAATGAATGTAATGAAAAAATAAACACCTCAGTGAAATAGTTTCAAAACCTATTATAAGAACCAGATAAAAAGAAATTAAGCTCTTACATTCTTATGTGAAATGTGCTTCAGAATAACCCAATATTTAATGACACAGAGCAGTTACATTGGTAAAACACCAACAATGGTGCAGATGAAATGCAGGACCTAAGTTTGATCCCTCAGACCACATAATGGAAAGAAGTAATTCTGACCTCCACACATACACCTGAAACAAATAATATAGATGTAACTTTTGTATTTTCCAGACAGGGTTTCTCTGTGTAGCCCTGGGGCTGGCCTCAAAGTCAAGGAGTTCTGCCTGCCTCTGTGGTCTGTGTGCTGGGATTAAAGGTGTGTGTCACCACTGCCTGGCTAGACATGTAACTTTTAATTAAAGGACTGTTGGGGTGGTTCAGTCACTAAGCCTGATGACCTTAGTATGACCTCAAGAATCCACATAACAGAAGGGGAGAACTAACCCCTGAATCCTGTCTTTTGATTTCTACATACATACTGTGGCAGGATCAGGTCATGAACACAAACTAAAGTTATAATAAACCAAACATGTCAGCACAAATACATCAAAACAAAATGCTGAGAGCATGTTAGAGTAGGAGCAATCAAAACATCAACTGATGGTGGTAAATGTGGTCAATTGCTTTTAAAAAAAGTAGCAAGAAATTCAGTGGCTATCAGTAACCACCTTGCTAAGTAATCTTTGTGTTATTTAACCGTTGAGTGGTGTGTTCTGAGCTACACCATCAGTCCTCAAGATTTAATGCTTCAAGAGCTGATAGTGGTAACGGTGTTTGATTCTGAATCATACAACAAGCCTAATTAGAAACAAACAAACAAAAACTTTGTTTTGAAAAACTGTATGTCCTTTAAATACACAGTTATGGAAACTTTGAATGTGCTGACTGTGGTGGTGGTAGGGTAATGGACCACTTTGCTTCAGGATTCCTAACACATGATATGTAGTGTTGTCCTAGCCACAAAACACATCATGACACAAATATTAAATAATGTCTGTATGTAGTTATAAAGTTCTTAAATGAAGCCACCTCTTTGTCATGATAGTTAGACTTGACCTGGACCTTTAAAGAACTGGTGTGTCACTTTCACAGAGCAATCTATCCTTATGAATTAACTCTGTTAATATAGCTGAGTGTGGCGGCCATTAGGGAGCTGGGTCTATTTTTTTCTATTCAAAAGATGACTCACAAGGCACTATTTACATTAGAGTAGAAAAACCAGTCTTGATGTAGTTTCTTTGACTAACTAGTGACATATTTTCTTAAATTAATAAATTGAAAGAGTGACCAGCATCTAAGCAATAAAAGGTTATATTGGGCTTGGGGTTGTGGCTCAGTGGTATAACACTTGTCTGACAAATATGAGGCCGTAGATTCAAGCTACTATTGCAAACAAACAAAGAGATTATTCCTTCTCAACCTCAACATCTCAGCCTTAAAGCAATAGCCACACACAGTTGAGCTTTCTGGAGACCAGTTGTCCCCTGAGGCCCTGAGGCCCTGCAATTCCTAAGGATATCAACCACAGCCTACCAAGTGTCCATACTGACACTGAGCATTCCCTGCATTCAGGGTCACACTGATTCATGGTTAGTTGACTCAGCAACAAATGCCCCGTCATAGACCAGACACTCTAACAGGTGTTTTTTGTAGAACTAATTACAGCTATGGTGCATGCTGTATCTCTCCAGGACTCTGGAGTCTACCTTGTTCACCTCTTACTGACAGAGCTCTTGAAACATGTTGTGGAGAATAACCTTAACTGTCCATCAGAAGGCATATGGATAAATGATGGTACATTCACATAACTGAATGCCACTCTATAATAAAGAAAAACAGCATTTAATACGATGAAGTATTATAACGAAAAAGGCAGGCACTATTTTTTTCAGCTTTAAGGGAGAAGATTTTGTCAATTGGTTACAGTATTATAAGTAGCAAATTAATTTATCCACAAATGTCTGCATACACAGAAAATAACATAAATGATAACAGTGCAATACTTTGGGGGGTAAAAGACTGTCCATTAATAGTAAAGAGACTGCCTAAATTGTGGTGCATAGATCCTCTGCAACCAGCACAAGAGTAAGGAATCTACATAATGTATATAATTAGTTCTAAAACACTTTGAGAAAACACAAGTGCTGTAAACACTTTCACTTTCTCTTGGAAACATTTGGGTCTTGAAGCACATTCTATCCACTAGAAACTTTTAGTTATGTACCATGAAGGATCTCCCCCGGCTGGAGGGAAGGAAGGCATGAAGTAGGGCACAAGGTTGGGGACATGGAACAATGTGGTCTCTCACAAAGCTAGATTCTTAAGACGAGTAGCAGCAGATGAGAAACTTCTTATCTGGACCCTACCCATGCCTCTTAGCAGATGAATGATCTAAAAAATAATACCTAACTTACCTGTGTGCCTTGGTTTCTCCATTTCTGAAGCTGTGCTATAAATAATAATACTTATAAAGTGTTGGATATATCATCTGACAGGTAGTAGATGGCCAATTAACTTGGCATATTAATAGTTATAAAAGTACCCTTTCCTTTTCCAAACCCATGTCTTTACTCAGCCTGTGCTGCTGCTGCCCCAAAACTGCCAATCCAGTAGCATGGTGGGGGGAGGGGTGTTAGTCTACCATCCGCATGTCATTTCTTTGTTGTCTGGACCTTCACAGAGTTACAAACCATTTTATACCCCCCCCTATGCTTGTTTGCATTTCCTGTTTCCATTTTTGTGTTTGTGGGTTTGGTCCTTTTTAAAACATTTATTTATTTTTATGTGTATGAATGTTTTCCCTGCATGCATGTATTGTATACCGTGTGCCCGTTGGATCCTCTGGAACTGGTAAGTAAACCTGGGTCTTCCACAAGATCAACAAATGCTGTTAATCACTGAGCCATCTCTCTAGTCTAATCTTTGTTTGTCTAGATAACTCCATTCTGGCTTCCAATTCATGATTTTTCTGCCTCAACTTTACAAATGATGGGATTAAAGGCATTAGAGTATGCCCAGCTCCTCGTCTGTCTTTATCTGGACAGCAATGTCTGAGGCATCCATCTTTCCATAAATTCCTCTACTAGTTAATGGTACAAAGCAATGAAACAGTTTCTAAAAACGGTGATCTTGGGTATGGGGAGATAGCTCTAGTAGACAGTAATTACCAATAACTCACTATTTGAGAGACAAGTATGAGGCCTATATGGCCTACCTGGTCTCAAAACAAAAAACTGAGTTGTTTTATGTAATGTATTTCAGAAGATCCTTTGTCTGACTCTGTCTTAAAGCTGTCTTGTGGGGTAGAGATCAAATATCACTAATGGAATTTAGATTCTGTTTACTAGAAATAGATAAAGAACTCTATTAGTTATCCCCTACTCTTGTCATTACAAAATTATAATGTAATTTGTGACTGAATTAACTTTTTTCTTTCTTCCCCCCTGTTAATTTTCCCCTTTGCATTTCTCTGTCATCTCACCATGTTCTATGAAAGATTTAAGTAAGAACTGTCCTTGACTAATCATATTCAGGCCTAAACCTCCAATAGCATGAGGTTACAGGGATTTCTTAAATATGAAATTGTATCAGTAATTTAGGATTCTGCTGTCTACAACATTAGATGAATTCCTATAATTTTATTTATTTATTTAAGTTTTTCGAGACAGGGTTTCTCTGTATTGTTTTGGAGGCCGTCCTGGAACTCACTCTGAGATCAGGCTGGCCTCGAACTCACAAAGATCTGCCTGCCTCTGCCTCCCAAGTGCTGGTATTAAAAGTGTGTGCCACCAACGCCCGGCTTATAATTTTATTTTTAAGTAAATTGTTTTAAAAGTTGAGGTTTGACAAAAATGAGTTTGTGTT